GGTTCAAGGGCTGCAGGAAAGTGGGTAAGACTAGTATTTCCACATTTTTTCCTATATCTGGGGTAAAGGGGGAGGTAAAGGGAGAAGCCCCACCCAGTCTCCCACCCATCCCAGGTCCCTGATGTGGGGCATGCTCAGAGGGTCTTGCTCAAGTGGTTTTGATAGTTTACCAGTTATGAATTGCTGCCAATCTCACCATTCCAAGCACAATGAGGTCACTGAAGAATCCTCTGATTGACATAGTCCATCTTAGAGTCTCCATTTGCCCAGTTATTCATTGCCAACATATGGCTGGGGTAGTTAATTGATTTGTTCTGTCCTCTGTCTTTTCATGGTTAAGGTTCTGAGTTTGGCAATTTGATTGGGGGCATCCCTAAACAAACTTTGTCTGAGGTGAACCCAGACCAGATTCTCACATGTACTTGCCAGTCCAGGGCCGGTATAGTCCATCGCCCCCATCAGCAGGTGGTTGCAATTGCTGGGTCGGTTCTGTTTCCAGCCCTGTCTTCACATGGACCTATTTTGACCCATACAATGCCAAAGTCAGTATTATTTTTCCTGTGGGACCAGTACAATGCACTGATCTCAATGAGTTCTCTCCAAGCTCAGCACATGCACAGCTCACTGTTGTCCCTGCAGTCTTAAAGCCTTTGCCACACCGTACAAAATGGCACCTGATGTGCCACTGCTGGAGTTCTTGATCTGCTAGCCGTCAGGTTTTAGGGCTACTTGGACCTGTTTCGGGGGGAACCTGTAGGATGCCACATTGTTACAGTTCACTGAGCTGCTGGAGTCAAGCTCCAGCTGAGTTCGGAACTCGTAAAGGGTGTGTGGATGAAGCGCAAAGAGGAAAGAAAGAGGAACCGCTAGGATTTCATGATCATAATGGACAATGTGGGAAAGCTGTCTGCTTTATTTATACAAAATCAGTCAAACTCTGGCTCAGACTTTTTACATCATGGTCAAGTTGGGAATTTCTAAGGATAATTCTGCCATTAGTTTTACCTAGAAACAATAGAAGTTCCTGCTACAATTCTTATCCTACAACTCAATCTTGTATCACAAAGAAAAGGGGAACCTAAAGATCAAGGAAAGAATGAAAGCCTAAATACAGGTCCCTTGATTAGCATAAGGTCAATGGGGACAGCCAAGACAGTAGGAATAATAGAAGGCCCTTTTGCAAGACGTTATTATTGACATTAACCTCCAAGCTCACATTGAGTAAAAGGCCAACCTCACAGTAGCAAACAATGCCTGGATGGATTAGGGTTCTTCCGCAGGGTGGTCCAGTGTCCATGCAAAAGAAGGTGGAGCTGCATTCAGGTGATTGTAGAGATGGGGGGGGGCGGCAAACAGGGGAAGTTCCTTGCGGCCCTGCCTGCAATGCAACAACACTCTTCACACCTTCGTGTCCCCCACATCCACTGCAGGGACCCCCAACACTGAGCCATAAATGAGTTCACTCTCAGTTCGGTGAATGCTCAGTCCTGTCCCATAGCATTTGCCTCCTTAAACAAAATGGTGCCCGATTTGGCTTTAGGGGGCAGACTGGGTTGTGAAATCCACCCTGTTCCCACACTGCTCATCTGGGACCTGCTGCTCTGTCTCTGCTCCTGGTCAAATCAAACAGATCAGCAGGACAGGCAGTTCTTTGGGTTCAGCTCCGGAGCTCCAGGTAAATGTCCCTTCCCACCTTGTTGCTGGTGTTCTGGCTGCTGCTGCAATTTGAACTGCCACTGAATAATGCCGCTGGGTCATTGCAACACCACATGTTGTGTCTGCTGCTTTCCTGTGTTTGTCAGTCTCTGGAGCCCCTTGCTGTTGTTCTGTCTTCTCCTGTTTCCTGGAATGTGCCCTCTCTGCTGGCTATTGTTTCTCCATCTGTTTAAACGTGTCCTTACCCTATTCCTCAAAGGCTTTTTAACCATGGGATCGCTATCCATATTCAGCATGTGAGAAACTTACAAGAACAAATCTGACATATTTCTTTAAAGGTTTATTTTTTTTGGAAAGGCAGATCAGATTTATGAAGAGAAAGAGAGACAAACAACTTTCACCTGCTGATTCACTTCCCAAGTGACTGTAATGGGCAGAGCTAAGCTGATCCATAGCAGCCAGGAGCTTCTTCCAGATCTCCCACATGTGTGCAGGATCCCCAGGCTTTGGGCTATCTTCTGCTGCTTTCCCAGATCACAAACAGGGAACCAGTCGGGAAGTGGAGCAGCTAGGATACAGACCAGCTCCCACATGTGAGCCTGACAGGGACAATTACCACTGAGTCATCACGCTGAGCCTGGATTGTATCTTACAAGATGATGTAAGTCCTGTGCCAGATGCCTCCCCCCCTAAAGATGATATTTTTGAAAGTTGGTAAAAGATCGGTTTTATTTTACTTTGTATAGCTCTATAATATCTGCCTTAATAGAAGACCTCACATGCTCGTGTGTTCAATCTGTTTTGTTGTTTGGAATGCAATAAATGAGGGACATCTAATCTGTCGCAGATAAAGAGGCAAAACCATTTTCACAGCTTTTCTAGATTTCTTTTGAGGAATGACTCGAAATATTGCCCCGGGAGATTGATGAGATCCTGCCATTTTAAATCTGGTGCCACCTTAAACACCTGCTTCCCCTAAGTCTGCATCCCGGTAAGGCCCCCTTGTGTAAGCTTCGCACCCTTTCAATCCACCGTACTTCATGACACCACGCCCGACATGTCCCTATTCACTAATCGCCTGCAGTAACCACCCCTGCTATCTGCTTCTACCACACCTGCCGATTCCACACTGCCACACCTACCTCTGTGCCATAGTGACTTCCCATTGTTTTGCTCTTCCCGTCTCCTTTGTTCTCACTCCCCTCTCTGCTCTCTCTCTGCTTTCTCTCTTCCTGCTGAAATAAAGACCTCCTGTGTGACTCGCTGTGTCTGGCTTTCTGGGTTTGTGGCAATATAAGTGACCAGTTCTAGGCATTCTTCTTGGATAATTCACCAAATTTGACATGAGGCAGCTTCTTAGAATGCAGTTGTAATGTAGGTTGGGGCAGTCTGAAACCTTACCAACTTTTGTTTTTTAAGATTTGGAAAGGCAGAGCCATAGAAAAAAGGAGAGACAGAGAGAAAGATCTTCCAGCCACTGGTTCACTCCCCAAGTGGCTGCAATGGCCAGAGCTGAGCCGTGCTGAAGCTGGGAGCATCTTTTGGGTCTCCCACGTGGGTGCAGGGTCCCAAGGCTTTAGGCCATTTTTTTTCCCTGGTTTCTCAAGTCACAAGTAGGGAGCTGGATGGCAAGTGGAGAATCTGGGACACTAACTGGTGCTGCATATGGGATTCCAGTGCATATAAGGTGAGCACTTTAGCCACTAGGCTCTTGTGCCCGGCCCTCAACTAACATTTCAAAAAGTCTATTTATTTTTATGTATTTGAAAGGTAGAGTACCAGCAAAGAGGGAGAGACAAAAGGAGAAATCTACTACCTGTTGGTTCAATTCTCAAATGGCTGGATTAGGCAGAAGCCAGGGGCGTGGGGCGGCTTCTGGGCTTGGGTGAAGAGCCCGAGGCACTTGGGCCATTTTCCACTCCATTTTTGGGGAGTCGGATATGAAACGGAGCAGTACATCTCCAGCTGATGGCGGCTTAACCTACTATGTCCTGATAGGAGACCCAAGTTAACATTTCATATTCTGCTACACTGAAATCCATTGCCCTCTAGAATCTCTTTAAGAAAAACACATTTATTTATTTCAAGGCAGAGTTATGGAATGAAGGAAAGCAGAGATTTTCCATGCCCTGGTTCGCTCCACTACTGGCCACAGCAACCAGACCGATTTTCCCATTGGTCATGTGGAAATCGGCTGTTCCAGGAGATGTAGGGATTGCCGCAATGATGATACAATGTCAAAAATGCATTTGTGAACATTCCTGGCAACTTGAGCAGGGAGGGCCTTGAAGTCCTGGCAAGCTCTGAAGCTCAAGGTGGCAGATACAAGCGTAACACAATCTAGTTTGTGTGTGAAAACTCACAGTACTGTTTCTCTGCTTGTGCCCACAGTAGAAGTACTTCCCCCCTTCTTCATACGGACTAGTTCAAAGGTGTGTGTGTGATGCAGGCCAAGAATGCACAACTTGGCCAGCGCTGGCGACACTTGGCTCCTGTTGCCGAGCCCAATCTACCTTTACTGTTCCTCACACCAGCAGAGTCAAGGTCAAGGACGCCAGAGGCATCTTGCATTAGGACGAAGACCCTTCGCTCTTGCAGACTCAACTGAAAGCGTCTAGAAGGCTCAGGGTACCGTGCAAGTCCCCGTGGAAAATCCACCCAAGAGCAGAGGCTTCAGAAAGTAACACTCCAATTTCTTGGGTTATCTCTAAATCCTCTTTTGTATAAAAAGTGCCCTCCTTCTGTTTTCTTAGTTACGGAGCAGGAAGTTCCAGTTTCTCGTGCGTGCCCTTACCTAGCAGGAGGATGGTATGTAACGCTCTTTTCCTCCTTGCGGAAGGCGGTTAATGCACAACAACGCGTCAACAGACCGCATAGCTTTTCTCTTACTCACTCGGAATCTACGTGCTTTGTAAAAAAAAAAAAAAAAAAAAAAAATTCCAAGTCTTTTCACAATCAGGACAGTGGCCAATTACAAAAAAAAAAAAAGTGGGGTAGTGGCTGTCCCCGCATGACCACGACGGGTCAGCCCGCGTGGTGTCCTAGGCCGCCCACCCCCTACAGGGCCCCCCCAAAAAAACACTGACGCACTTCTGAGGGAAAAACAAGACGGAGCCGCGATACAAACCTCCCCGGATAGAACACGAGAGAACACGAGAGAAGGCGGCGGCGCCAGGTCGGGCCGCGCGAGCCCCTCGCGGCGTTGCCGGGGCGACGCTTCCGGTGGCGCGCGCCGCCGCGGAGCAGGGGAGTCGCGGTCGGGCGGCTAGAGCAGCCCGGCGCTGCGCGTGCGCGTGCGGCGGCGGCGGGAGCGCGCTGGCGGCCGCGCGGGCTGCGCCTTCCCGGCTCCGTCACGGCCGCGTCGGAGACGTTGGCGAGCGGGATGAACAGCGGAGGTCCCTTCGGCTTGGGCTTAGGCTTCGGCCTGATCCCTACGGCGGTGATTCAGGTGACCAATCTGTCGTCGGCCGTGACCAGCGAGCAGATGCGGACGCTTTTTTCCTTCCTAGGAGAGATCGAGGAGCTGCGGCTCTACCCTCCGGAGTGAGTGCCGGGGCTCGGCTGGGGGAGGGGCGCGGGCGCCATGGAGCCCTGGGGCGGCGGGGGCGCGGGGCGCGGCGGGGGCGCGCGGGGCGGCTCACGTGACCGCCGGCCGCCCGCGCCGGGGGCGCCCATGTTGGATGAGGGCACCCGCCGCGCCGGCCTGGGCGTCCTTGGCTTGGCTTGGCCGGCCGGTCACAAAGGCCGTGGGCGAGGCGGGCCTCCTTCCCGGTGCTCCGTTCTCGTGCTGGCCCGCTCGGGAGATGCTAGCCTGGCCGCCTTCCCACCATCCACCCTGCGCCCCGTTGCGTCCCCTGGATTTAAGATGGCCGCAGGTGGGCCTGGGCTCGGCCTCATGGCACGCGCCTGGCCCGCGTCCTGCGCGCCTCTCGGGGGACGCCCGGGCAGCCGTCCCCGGTGCTTCGGGCCTCCGCCTCGGACCGTTAGCGCTCGGCCAGAAAGCCTGCGGCTGCTGACAGGCCGCGTGGGTTCCCCGGGCGCCTCTCGCACACTTGAATGAGCATCCTCGGTTTGACCCGCCCCGGGCCCTTCCGTGGGCTACATTGTTGTCCCGTCACCCTGTTGCACACCAGAGGGAGAAAGTTTCTGTTTGTCCAAATTTATCCACAAAGCAAAAAAAAAAAAAAAAAAAAAAAAATCCAAGCGTGGCCGGTGCAGGATTGTGCGTGCGGTGCGCTCCGCAATTTTGAAAGTCCAGCTCGGAGCGGACACTCGCGAGGCGCAGCCACCTCTCCAGCGGCGTGGTTGGAAGGGATCCGGTGTTCCTTGCCCACTGCGACTTATTCAGGAGAGGTGGCGGACGGTCCCCGCCGGGGCGCGAGAGCCGTCGGTCCTGAGCCAGGCAGTTTGGAATGTGTCACTGGTTTGAAGGAAGTGATCGCCTGTGGGTTTTTATCTTTTTCATTTTTGGAGTTAGTTTGCATTTGATTGATTTGAGTTATGAATCGGATCTCCGAGATTTTTCCGTGTGCACCTACGCAACAGTGCCGCCGCGTAGATGGGATGAAAGCTGTTAACATGTTTGGGTAGTTTAGACTTAAGGTTTCCCCTTTTTGGAGAAGATTCTGAGCACCCCTGTTCCCTCCGCGTGTGAGATTTCTTGTGCCCTTTCCGCTTCTTTTGATGTAGCGTGTATAGCGTGTAATCAGGCCACCCACTGCGTTATCTCATTTCAGCAGACAAGTCCCTCCCCAGCCGCCCCTCCCGCTTTTAAATCCTCTTCTCGAGGTTAAGTCTTGTTTTTTCTCGTGGAAGAAGCCGTGTTCTAAGGTTCCTTAGGTTATCAGGGATGAGATTGGTGCTTGTGGCATGCACATGTTTTTAAAAATGCCTTCTCAAGGCTGCGAGGAGTGCTTAGAGGGGCAGTTGGAACCCATCCCTGAAATGCTTTGTAGATGGTTTTGCGCCCCAGGTCGCAGGAGTAAGGTGTCTTCGCGAGTAGGGATCTGTGTTGCAGAGTACCTCGCCAACATCGTACCATCTTTCCACCTGTATTGTTGAAAGCTGTGTGTGCGTGGATTGCCTACCAGTTACTGGCAAAAACAGCCTGGGGAAATGTAATTTTTTCCAGCTTTCTAGTAGCAGGGGGGAGAGAAAGAAAGAAATCTTCCATTCTCCCGTTCATTGCTGCCATGCCGGTAACAGGCAGGATTAGGCCAGGGTAAAGGCAGGAGCCAGAAGCTGGGCCTGGGTCCTACGCCATGCTCTGCTGCCGCCCAGGGAAGGTGTTAGCGGGAGAGTAGAGCTGCCGCTGGGTCCCTAGTACTTGGAGGGGGTGTGGCAGCTTAAGCTGTCAGGCTGAAAGGCTGTCTTCCTTTCTGGCTTCTGTTTTTATTTCTTTTATTTTTTTTTTTTAAAGATTTATTTTTATTTATTTTTTTTTTTTTATTATTTTTTCATTGGAAAGGCGGATATACAGAGAGGAGAGACAGAGAGGAAGATCTTCCGTCCGATGATTCACTCCCCAAGTGAGCGCAACGGGCCGATACTATGCCGATCCGAAGCCAGGAGCCTCTTCCGGGTCTCCCACGCGGGTGCAGGTTCCCAAAGCTTTGGGCCGTCCTCGACTGCTTTCCCGGGCCACAGGCAGGGAGCTGGAAGGGAAGCTGGGCTGCCGGGATTAGAACCGGCGCCCATATGGGATCCCGGGCGTGCTAGGTGAGGACCTTAACCACTTGCGCCACCGCGCCGGGCCCTATTTCTTTTATTTTATTTGAGAGGCAGAATGGGGGAGAGAGAGAGATCTTTCAAGTGGATGCTACGGAAATGAGTACTTGAGCCATCACTGTTGCCTCCCAGGGTCTGAGTTAGCAGGAAAAAAATGCAGGTAACTGGGGGGGTGGGGGGGGAGGAAGGGCTTTTCCTTCCTTCCTTTTTTTTTTTTTTTAAAGATTTACTTATTTTGGTTGAAAATCAGAATTCTAGCTATCTTCCAGTCACAGGTTCACTCCACAGGTGGCTGCAATGACCATAGGTGGGCTGTCCACGTGGGGAGGGAAGAGGGGCATGGCCCTCGGCCGCCCTCCACTTCTTACCAGGCTTCTCCAATTCCCAGGGGCCCTCCACTTCTTACCAGGGAGGTGGATCTGAGGTGGAGTACCCACAGGAGATTCCTGTGCCCCGTTGGAGGCTTAGCTTGCTGTACCACAGCACTGGCCCTAGCTTTATTTTTTTAAAGGGTTTTATATTCCATTCAATCCAAATTCATGTATTTGTACGTTTTGGTTTGCCATCAAGTTTTGTTATTTACTAAAAAAAACCCTTATTCTTCAAAAACATTTTTTTTTCACTGGGTGTTAAATGCAGACATCAGAGTCAGGTGAGTCTCCTGGGCACAGTTGCTTGCTGTGTTTCATTAAGCCTGGTGTTGGCGTTGTACAATTAAAACAAGATGGCTGTGATCCTGTGGGGTGCGTTGTTGTCTTGGTGAGTTACCATGCATCCTTTAAACCAGGCGTTGAGACACCCAGGCCAGGGCCGAGCAGATCCTGAGGCCGAGCAGATCCTGAGGCAGAGTGCGTCTGCTTGCTAGTGAGATGTACCAGAAAGCCCTAACTAGATCTGAAAGTCACAGTGATTTATAAACACATACTTGTTTGCTGAGATAGTGATTATCTGCTTGTAGACTTGCCTCTATGTCATAGTGCAGCTTTCAGTGTTTTAAAATAGTCCTTGCTACCTCCACTGAAAAGCTCAAATATTTACATGTTTACAAAGTAAATATACACTGGCCATTATTTTCTGTCTTAAGGAAAGTAATTGGAGGTGAAGATAAAGAAAATTGCTTGGGAGACTCAAGTAGGAGACTTGGATTGAATTCCCAGGTTGTGGTTGAAGTGGAGACGGAGCGATGTCTAGAAACCGTACTCCCAGAACAAACCTATAGTTTGAAACTAATTCCCGTGGTGTCACGTGTAGTCTCCTTGCAAAGCAGGCGCAGATGGCCTTTTCCTGCAGTTATTATTAAAGTAGGAGTGGTCGGAAATGTTTCTCATTTTCAGCAGTGATCGGTTAGGTTTGGTTAGGTTTTCATTCTTTCGCAAGAGGATCATTCAGTTAAGGGAATGTAGCTTTAGTGATGGGTTTCAGGCTCTTCAAGATTTCAGAACTGCGGGTGACTTGTTGCAATGGCTAAGGCCTTTTTTAGGTCATTGTAACCATAGATTGGTTTGGCTGCAAAGGATAGAAACAGTGTTTCTCAGGCAACCTGCAGAAGAGGCTTCAGCTGGTGGAAGGTTAGACTGAAGGGGAAGGAGCCGGGACCGGTAGGACTGGGTCTCACTAGGCTTGGTTGCCAGCTCTGTCTGTCTGTAGACTCAACAGGGTACTGCCTGGCTCTTGCCAGTGTGCTAGGCGGACTCTAAGTTCCTTTCCCGGCCAGTAGAGGATCCGATTGTTCTGAGGCATTTGGTCCAGCCTCACCACCCAAATTATAGTTTGCTATTCCACCAGTAAAATTAGCCCTTTTGGTAGGCAGCAAGTCCTTTGTGGTTGTACAAAACTTAAAAAGCTCTTAAGGGGTTCATTCACATAAGGAGATTCTAGAGGCGCTTCAGAGATGTATGGAAGGTGGTAGCATGCGGGAGGGGTACTAGTCACCCTGACACCTTCACATGTTTTACCTCAAGACCTGAAACTTGAGCCTTGGGGAAAAGTGAAATTACAGTTGGCCCTACTGCCCAATGGAATCTCTAGTGTAAAGACTGAAGTAGCGCCTAGCGTTTCCTTTCAAAACCAAAAGTATTTGTATATGCATGGATTTGGGGGTGTGGTTAGATGATGGAGGAAGGTCTGAGGATGTCTGTTAGGAAATCTAAGGGGTGGAGTGTTAAAGTGTACGGTTTAGAAAGATGAGTGACAGCTTTTGGGGGGGCGGGTCACTGGTAAAGGGTTGAAGATGGAGGCAGCGTGATTGGGTGGGAGCCCTTGTAGTATTCCATGTGGGAAATATTGAGGGCCTGATTAAAGCACTGGCCATGAGGATGAAGAAAGGATTAAAATGACTTATTTGAGAGAGAGCTTCAGCAGAATAAAATCGGTGTAGGTGGAATCTGGGAAATCCCCAGATCTCAGTAATTTTAGAAAACCGATGAATTATTACATGTGATTGGTGGGGTTGGGAACTCTGCTCATGGAGTCACCGGCATGAGGCTTTTGAATCAGCCACCTGTCTTGAACATTGCTGCTCACTGTGGCAGAGACATTAAAATGCAAGCAACAAAATGGAAATTTACCGTGAACCCAGAAGCCCTGGAAATAGGTGAGCAACGCTGGTGACTGTCACGCGAGACTCCTAGCTTTTTTTTTTGTAACCTGGGGTAGAGTGGTGGAATCATGAACAGCAGTGTGGTGGACAGCAGAGGGCTGAACTGGGAAGGAAGGGGGCTAGGGAATGGAAGAGAAGGGTTGGGTCCCAGGGAGCACCAAGGTGTGATCTTGCATAGGTGCTAGAGTTAGAGAGCTCCATGGGAGATTCGATCCTGGGAAGCTGGGAAGTTGGGTTGTTCGAGTGTTTAACTCTGTGACTATATATAAAGTGTTTGGATTGTTGTGTTGGATAAGTAGGGGGTTTTGGTAATCCCGGCATGAATCTGAAATTCGAATTGCTTAGGGCGGTGAGCTGTCCAGTGAAGGGGGTAGCAGTGTTCTGGTGCTTTCCTCAGCAGTACCAGCGTGTTAGTCGAATAGTACCAAGTTTTTACAGCTACAGTTTGTTATCCTGGTATTTGGCTACTACGTTGTTTCAAGGTTTGTTTCTGTGAGTGATTGCAAAGAAAAATTTTTGAATTTTAAAAATGAGTATTTGTGCAACTACTGATTCTGTAGTATGTCAGGATAGCTTGAAAATTCTTGAGGAGTTGACTAGTTAAGGTTGTAGGAGTCTGCAGCTAGTTAGCCCTGCACTCGCAACTGCCGTGCTCCTGTTCAGGAATTGTGATCAGTTTCCTTCATTTGTTTTGTAAAACAAAGTAAATTCTACTTATTGCACAAGTCTTAGTTTTCAATATGTACTTTTTTTAGTGTGAAAAATTGTAATGGTTCAAGTGTTTACATTTAATAAGGGCTAGTGTCTGTTATTTTGCATATAAAAGATAAAATTTGTTTCAAAAATTTTCATTTATAGAATCACATTGCTGTCTAGCTTAAAACAGTCTGCTAAGTGCATTAAGACAAATTTTAGTTCTGTATTTGTTTGTAAGACTGATGATATTGTTAGTGATTTGAAATACTGAAGAATCACAGGATGGGCGTGGGCTTGGGATAATGACCAGAGCGAGGGGATGGCTGTGTTATTGTTGCAGGTCAAAGCTGTATTTGTAGTTGTACTCGATATTTCCTTAAATGAAGAAGTGTTTTGTATTTATGTCATTATGTCATTAGCTGGATGTAATAAAATGTTTTTTTATATAAGATTTATTTTTATTATTTTTTCATTGGAAAGGCAGATATACAGAGAGGAGAGACAGACAGGAAGATCTTCCATCCGATGATTCACTCCCCAAGTGAGCGCAAGGGCCGATACTATGCCAAACCGAAGCCAGGAGACTCTTCCTGGTCTCCCATGCGGGTGCAGGGTCCCAAAGCTTTGGGCCGTCCTCGACTGCTTTCCCGGGCCACAGGCAGGGAGCTGGATGGGAAGCAGGGCTGCCGGGATAGAACCGGCGCCCATATGGGATCCTGGGCGTGCAAGGCGAGGACCTTAACCACTGCGCCACCGTGCCGGGCCCTGGATGTAATAAAATGTTACTGTCAGAAGTTTGTTTGAAGCTCTAAGAGTTGGAACTTTTATCATGGGACTTGTCCATTTTTGATATGATGAATGAACACCTGTGAGTTACATCAGCCGTTTTCATATTTTACTGATTGAGTTTCAAGTTTTAGAAATCGGGTTATAAGTCTGCCCATATTGCCCTCTGTCTTGGTAGATTGCCATTAAATGACTAAATTTAATTTTCAAGCCTTAATGATTTTAAGCAACAAAAAAATCAAATATTAGTTTGGTTATGTAAGATTTTGTAAAGATGAAAGAAATTGTAAATGAAACGACGAAGCCAGACAAATGTTTGTTAGTCCAATTGTGTTTTCTTCTTTTTTATCTTTCAGCAATACACCCCTTGCGTTTTCATCCAAAGTATGTTATGTTAAGTTTCGTGACCCTGCGAGTGTTGGTGTGGCCCAGCATCTAACTAACACGGTTTTTATTGACAGAGCTCTCATAGTTGTTCCTTGTGCAGAAGGTTAGTATTGCACCTGTTCTCCCGTTTTGATTCTTGTCTTGTCTGTTACTGCCTTTGAGTGTCCGAAAGATGGCCGGTAGACAGCTCAGGGTGTGTGTGTGTGTGTGTGTGTGTGTGTGTGTGTGTGTTGTATGTGTGGAAGAGAAAGAATGTATGTAAAAGCAGGGATGAAGTTTAGAGAAGGAAGGAATTTTTACTCAAGAGTAAATGCTGTAAAATGGTTAATTGATTTTGTTTGTTGAGGGTTTATAATTTCTCACTTTAAAAATTGTAAATTATTTGGCTTTTTTGGTTTTGCTTTGGCTTTTTAAATAGTCAATTCTCTGCTTGCTTCAACAGCACATATACTAAAATAGTCAGTTCTCAGGTTGTAAAGAAAGTTTTCTGAAATTAAAAAAACATCGATATGAGAACTTTCATATGTAAATAAGTGTTTATCCTGTGTGTACTGATAGTGTTACCAACAGACGCGATGTACACATTTTACCTATAGAAGTGGTAATGATAAACAGTCATGGTTTGTGCTTTCAGATAGCCTCTTAGATGATTGACGTGCTTACCATGAGATCATTGTTTTATATTCAGAATAATTGTTTGCAACTGGAATTTACTTTTTTCTTTTTGTGACTTTTGGGTGGGGGAATTGAAAAATTGTCATGCTTCCTCCCTCCCAAAACATTTTTTCCAAAGCTTCTTTTAAAAGAACTAAAGAACTAGCTGTTAATGATTGAAACAAGGCTAAAAGCCTTAATGATTAAATTTTATGGCCTACTGCTTTAAGAGCTAATTGTTACTAATAATTTTTAGTAACTTCTTTTTACAGAGCCACTCACATACAGTAAAGTGTGCTGAATTTTGACAGTTCTTGTGTGTAATGAACTATTCAAAAAACTGACCATGGCACGTGTACATGAATTGTAGTATTGGGTTATTGTATATCCTTAAATCAGATTTTCTCAGGTAGATAATGGTAACTGTTTTACAACATAAAAGTTTACTAGAAGCCTCTTAACAGCTCTTTTATTGGCCCAGATTAATGTAACATATATAATCAGCTGTACTTTCAGATTTTATGCATTATTTCAGCATGCCTATTTTGGTTGTCAGAAATCTAACAGTCAAATACAGTGAGTATCTGGGCTGATACTATTGAAATCCCAGAATAGAATGTTCTGATTTTTTTCAGATAAATTGGGAGTGTGTTATCCTGTTTGGGGGTTAGGGTGGGTCAGGAAAATAAAAAATGTTTTGCAATTAGTTATTTGTTAAGCACACCCTTACCTGCTGATGTAAGGATAACGGAGCCCAAAGCTGGAGAGTGGGGAGAGGGGCTGGTTAATGGTTGGTTCTTCACCTGGAAGTTCCATCCCAAGAAACTGCATAGGAAAAAGAGTAGGTAGAGGGGTTTAATAAACTGAAATATAACTGCAAGTTATTGCAGCAACATGACAGGGTCTTTGATTGAATTAGGTAGAGGGGTTTAATAAACTGAAATATAACTGAAAACTATCGCAGCAACATGTCAGGATCATTTATTGAATTAGGTCCTTACTAATTGGAAGAAAGAATTCTATGCTTGTTTTATTGGGACCTTGTTACATTCCCATAGAATTGTTGAGGTTACACAGGCCCTGATTGGTTTGTCATGAATGTTCAGGGTTCCTCCTGTTGTCTATTTTACTTGATAGAGAGATAAATGTAGAGTAAATGTAAACTCAGTTACAACTTTTTAATATATTGCTACTGTTTTGAGACAAAAATTTACTATTTTTGAATATGAGACCTCAAGCATAATTTTGAAGTTTGGGTAGAAGTGAGCATTTTAGAGCATTAAGCTATAAAATGGCTGGCATTAGAAAAGCATTCAGATACATTTTTTATTAGTTATTAAATATGGAAGTTACTATTAAGATTTTTTTGGTGACATGCAGTACATTATGCGCCGCAAGCAGAGCAGTAATGTGCTAGTGTAGTAAGGCAGTGGTGAGTTGAAGCCAGCCGCAGGAGAGGGGCTCCCATCCAGAGCCTGCGTCCAGATGCCATGCGCAGGCTCTTGTCCACTTCCCTGATTGCGTCATTGCCTTGACCTTATTGAAATGGCATCATGACATAATGAGAAAAACAAAAGGAAAAATATTCGCAAAAACTGTTTTTAGGTCTTTGGTTTGCTGTGTTAGAGTGGACAGCAGTGTGAAGATTTTAGGCTGTGGAAGTTTCATACGTTGGGAGCATTAACTATTGTTAGTAAAACATGCCATTTTCAAATAAAGTGTGCTTGGATCATGCTCATCCAGATAGGACTCGTTTTTGTTGTTGTGTGCATTCCAGGCTTCTTTTAGAAATAAATGTGAATTAGCAGATAGAGCGGGCTAAATTCAGACATGACAAGGGTGTCAGCTTAATCAGCAGTCATAAGTTTATGTCCACATTTTCTGGTAGATGGATTTTGACTATTAATTTGGTTTTGTATGTTTTCTCTATGTGATATTTGTGCACTATTAGATGACTAGACTGGCCGAGGCAGACCTGTTACACTTGCCTGAGTTAGGCATTGTTTGCCCTGCCACTAAACCTGCCGACAAGTGACACCTTCCCTGGGGAGTGAGATCGGAGTCTCAGCCGCAGAAGATGGACGCCCTGTCTCTGTTTTTTTATTGTTTTTGCTTTAATTTCATTTCTTTTTCTTTATTTTGTCCCCCTTTTGTTTTGTTTTGTTTTTGTTTTGTTAAATCTCTTTCACTTTAACTGTGAGCTGGTTCTCCAGTTCTTTGTAAATGGTATTCCATTAAAGGTCATAATGTGATGCAAATTATATTGGGAGTTGGTTAGAAGCACTCAGCTTTAAGATAATTGCTCATGTAGTAAATTAGGATATAGTATTGTGAATCGCAGTATGAGTCTAATTGGTGTTTGTAGCTGATCGGGTACATTTTGTTCTTAAAGCATTAAACTCTGGTAAGAATTTTAGGGACACTGAGTATAGCGTGTTCTCAATGTAACGTATTTGTAGTTTTTTTTCAAGTCCAAATTTCACATAAAAACCACTGCTTCTAATTTTCATCCTTCCCCTTAGAATTCTAGTCATACAAAATTTATAATTTATCAAGCAAAGTAAGTGAATATTTTATGGTGGTCTGAATAGGGTGAAAAAAACCTTTACTTTTTTTTTTTTTTGCCTAAGTGGGGAATGGGCATTTGAGAAGCTATTGGTTGCTTATTTTCGTGTGTCTTTTTGTTTGTTTGATTTGTTAAAAAAAATTCTTCTGAGATTACAATTTTAGTTGGATTCTTAAGATTAAGATTTAGACTTTAATCCCATGAGAGATTTTTCTTCTGAGTTGTCATTGAGTATAACATGGAAAAATGCTAAATGCATTTACATCAGCCGTTTTCATATTTTACTAATTGAGATTCAGGTTTTAAAAAATTGGGTTATAGGCCTGCCCATATTGCCTTCTGTGTTGGTAGATTATCATTAAATGACTAAATTTAATTTTCAAGCCTTAATGATTTTAAGCAGCAAAAAATGTTGATTATGTAAGATTATTAATGTCTGATCATTAATGTTTGATTAAGATTTTGTAAAGATGGAAGAAATTTGTTTTAGACTTTATGTACACTAACTGGGGACTTCAGGAAATTAGAAAAATTGGCCACGAGATAAAGACAGATTTTGTACAAACTTTTAGAAGCCCCCTCAGGTTTGGATAGTGTATTTGATAGAAATCCATCATAGAAATTAAACTGTGAAACTTTTTTTTTTTTAAAGATTTATTTTATCAGAAAGTTGCAACTTTTTCTTAACCCATTATGTCTTATTGTCATATATATGGTGCATACAAAAACACCGAGCAAGAAATATATTGCTTATGGTATCTTTGTGATAAATACTGCGACATTGAGAATGTAAGACTTGATGGGTTATTGCATCCTTAGTGACAGTGTCAGACATGGTGGCAGCTGCTGGAGTGGCAGTGTGTCACTGGAAGGCTAGGCCGATCGCACAGTCTACTGGTGCATCATGAAGGCCAGATGGGGAAGATTTCATAGTAGAAAATAATGAACTTTTGACCTGTGTCAGACACCCTGTTAGTCTTCCATGCTGTCTTTATGGATGGTTTTGCTTATTAATTGGCAAACATTACTAAATTGGAGAAATTACTGTTGTTTTTTTTAGGTGCAGTTGTTAGGCTAGTGAACCATAGGGTTTGCACTTCCCAGCCTCAGCTGATGCAGTCAGTGTGTTCAGATTTTATAAGTGTTTTTCACAGCCATATATTTGTACCAGGAAAATCTGTGATATTAGTGTAAGTAGCATAGCATATATGTGGATGTTAATACATGTGTTAATATGAATAACTAATATACTTAAAGTAGGTTATTGTTATTTGATGTCTCAGTAAGGCTATCTACCTTTTGTTTATGCATGTTGAATCTGTTTTCTAGAATTTACATTGAAGTAGTTTCTGTTTTTAAAGATATGTTATTAAATTTACTTAGTGTAAACTTATTTAGAGATTTGTGTCTGTGCGTCTGATTGTTTTCAGTAGCATTTTTACCACTGGAATTAGGCATGGATGCATGAACTGTGCTTCAGCTGTGGGTGACTCTGTACACTGTCTTGAAGAATCCGTAATGGAGATACATGCCAGCTAAGCTACCACATGAGTAGTGCTTCTAAGTACATGGAGTCACCTGTTTTTAAAAATCTTTGTTTTGGCTAAGATGATAAGAAAAAATGTGAAAGTTAACAAGTTTTTGCCAAAATTAGTTGGTTAAAATTTAGCAAATGTGGCAAGTCAGTGTACCTATTTCACAGTGAATTTTTCATCTTTATTTTTTTTCTTATTAGTGTGAAATTATTTTAGGACTAACTCTTGACATATGGCAGTTAAAGTGTTGATAGGTAAGACACATAAGCCACCCTTCTTCGGATAAGTATGCAAAAGCTGACTACAAGGTTAATGTTTTAAGAAGTTTTCCTGAAAGCAGGAAGTCTTCTTGATGCAGTTATCTGATGTAGGTATTTTCCAAAACTTTTAGCAGTTTATGGAGGTGTGTTCCTTGGCAATGGATTCTTTTAGACATCTCAGATATTGGTGAGACCTTTGAGTGAATGGATGTAGACTGCCTTTTAAATTACAGCTAGTATGTTAAGTAGATTTTTATTTTTATTTATTTTTTTTGTTTATTTGGAATTGAATGGAATCTGTTGGATTATCAAAATTGTTTGCTTCACAAGTAGATAGCTTGAGTAACAGGGTAGGGGCACTCATTAAGGAACAGATTTCAATTCGCACATATTTGGTTTTTTTTTCTTTTTTTTCTTTTTTTTTTTTGACTGATTTGGTTATTTGCCATTTCTGGGGATTAAACTTTAAAAAATGTTCTTCTTTTCTGTATCTGATGTTCTGTGTGCTATTAGTGATGCAGCCAACACGAACGGTTGTCATGTGTAACACAACTTTCGATCACCGCGAAAACACCGTCCTGGGAAAGCGTCCATGCTTGATATCGTTTGGTTCATGAACATTAAGTTTCCAGTACAGGTGACCCATAGCTCAAAGTGTTACATAATTGTGTACATTATTCAATTTTTAAGATAATATTCCATTAATGAGATTTCTAGTCTTTGAAGTTTTGCTCACTTTTATTTTTCCTAATAGAGCAGGATAAAAGGAAAGACTTAAGTTCTTATTTATTTCGTTATACGGATCTGATAGATAGATTCTCATTTATTATTATTATTTTTTAAGTGCCAGGGTAATTGTAAAGTCATAGTGTCATGTTTGTGTGGTGTATCTGCCTTCTTTAATGTTTGGAACTTGCCTCTGCAGGTAAGATCCCTGAAGAAGCCAAAGCCCTCTCCTTGCTGGCGCCCGCTCCGTCCATGACCAGCCTGATGCCTGGTGCAGGGCTGCTTCCCATCCCCACCCCCAGTCCTTTGACCACAGTAAGTGCTCGGAGTCCACTCCGGGGTCACATTCAGCTAGGGATCATTTGAGTGAAGAGCTCAGGAAATTGTTGCTGTTTTGTGTCTTTTTTTTTTTTTTAAGTTTTATTTTTATTATTATTTTTTTTATTGGAAAGGCGGATATACAGAGAGGAGAGACAGACAGGAAGATCTTCCATCCGATGATTCACTCCCCAAGTGAGCGCAAGGGCCGATACTATGCCAAACCGAAGCCAGGAGACTCTTCCTGGTCTCCCATGCGGGTGCAGGGTCCCAAAGCTTTGGACCGTCCTCGACTGCTTTCCCGGGCCACAGGCAGGGAGCTGGATGGGAAGCAGGGCTGCCGGGATAGAACCGGCGCCCATATGGGATCCTGGGCGTGCAAGGCGAGGACCTTAACCACTGTGCCACCGCGTGGGGGGGGGGACTTTTTTTTATAACTGGAGAGAATTTCTAACCTCTTCTTGAAGATTTTCACTTCTTTTCCCCCTCCACCCCCCTCCGTGGTCATTGACTTAAACTGACTTTTGGAAATGCTCCTAACATAACTATTGACATTTGAGAAGTCATAGATTATTCATCAGAGAGTTAATGGAAATCTAAATGTTTTAGATTACATAGGACACTGGAAGGTCTGGGTGATTTCCAGATCATAATGTTATTTACCAGATCATGAGGATTAGAGATCCGTTTTTAAAAATCCATTTTTAAGATGGATGTTCCACAGTGGGGGAAAGTATTATAGAGAGGCACGCTCATGAACTTGGCCCACACTGGGCCCAGGCTGGCATGACTCCCCCATCCCAGTGCCCGCAGTCTTGTTGCACTGCCTGGCCTGGTCTAGTCAGCCCTCTGTTCCAGCTTCTGTTGGTGGGTGCTGCAGCCTATCCCAGCCCAGTCTGATTGCTGTCCTGGTCCTAATGTGAACCGGTTAGGGTTGTGGCCTGATCTGGCTCCTCCTGCCCCTTGCCCTGGTTCTCAGATCTGCCAGTGGGTGTTATGAACTGGCCCAGACTGGTCTGTCCCCAGACCTGACCCACATGTATGCTGGTGGGTACTGTAACCTGGTGTTGTCTGGGCTGCTCCTTGCCTTGCTTCTTGTGCTCACCTGCAGGGACTGCGTCCCAATGAGTTTCCCAAGCTCCTCTATCGAGTCTCCTCCCAGTGGCAGTTCTCAGGCACACCAGTGGATCATTGGCCCAGGTTGACTTTGTCTACCTCCTGCCCTGGCAAGATCAGTGGTGGCTTTGCTCAGTCAATCACACTCATTCTGGTTCTTGTTGGTTGTTGCAGCCCAGCACTACCTGGTCCGTGCCCAGACACAGCTTTCACATAGTTCAGTGGGAGTCAAGACCTGACCTGGCCTGTTCTACACCCAACCTGGCTCTCACGAGTACCAGTGGGGGCTGGAGTCAAGCCCAATCTGTTGCTCCACAGTCCCAGTGCACACCCACACTGGTGCAGGCTGTAGCCATGTCCAGCCAAGCCTGCTGCCCCCAATCCTACTCTCATCCTCACCAGTGGGAACCCCAACCCAGCTGGGGCGCCCCCTGGGCTCCCCAGCAAGGCCTGACCCCATCCACAGTTCTTGGGCGAGCCAGCAGAGATTGCAGTTCCACAGGGGTGAGCCCACATTGCCCCCACAGATTCTGCTATCAGACCCACTTCTCACTCTTGTTCTCCCCTCCAAACCAATTTGCTGTCAGTCCCCTACTTACATACACATGTTGTGGACTTGTCTATGGAAGTCCCTCAGCTGTAATTCCTAACCTGGGCATAAAAACCACAGGTCATCTCTCACTGTCACCTGTGAGATCCCATCATTTCCCTGTAAATCAAGACCCTTCAAACTGTGAGGGTGCACTGCCAGGCGGCCCCAGAGGCTTTGCCCAGTGCCTTTGGCCAGGCCCTTTCGGGGGGAGCCACACGACCCAACTACAGGCACCAGTGGGTCAAAAAAAGTAAATAACTTCCAGGATAGGGTGGTCCCAGAAACCTGCCTATCGTCCCTCCTCTAGCCCCCGGGGAGTCAGTGTGCTCAGCTGTATGTACCTGTTGGAAAAGCCTCCAGGCGTTGGCTTCTGAAGGTGTGCAGCGAGCGCCCTCCCCCAAGGCAGCCATGTGGCCCAGCTACAGCCACCCGGGTGGGTCAAAAAAACTTTCGTAATATTTTAAAAAGTTTTATATAAAGGGAAGGCAAAATTATTTAAAAGATTTATTAATTTGAAAGGCAGAATTTTAGAGAGAGGGAGAGAAACTGATCTTCCATCTGCTGGTTTACTCTCCAGATGGCTGATGGGGCCGGGGCCGGGGCCGGGGCCGGGGCCGGGCCAGGGGGCTGGGGCTGGGGCTGGGGCTCGGGCTGGGCTGGGCTGGGCTGGGCTGGGGCTGGGGCTGGGCTGGGCTGGGGGCCCGGGCGCATGCGGCGACGCGCCTGGGCTGGGCCAGGGCCTTCTTACAGGTCTCATGTAGGTGTAGGGGCTAAAGCACTTGGGCTGTTTTCCTAGGCACATTAATAGGGAACTGGATCAGAACTGACACTGGTGTTGGTACCTCCGGCCCCACTTCATCTGTGAAATTGGTGTAACAGTAATAGTCACCTCAGGGTCAATAGGATTGAGTTAATCAGTCAGCAAAATTAGATGCTGCTGTAATAGTTGGGTTTTTTTTTTTTTTTGGTTTGGAATTCAGTCATTTTGAATTACCGTCAAATTGATTTGTGACTTCGGTGTTTGTGAAGTCACTTATGAGATGAAACTTTTGGTTTAACTGTGAAGTCAATACTTGAAACAATTTTATGAAGAAATCACACAGGATGGCATTCTGTCTGGTTTTAATGTTCAGATTGTAAGCATGTATACTTTTTGCATTCTGTGTTTTTTGAATTTTTGTGCTTGTTACATAGCTCAACTTCTAAGCGTGGTGCTAACGTGTTGTGTTCCTGGGTTCAGGAATTCTGTGATGTGCTTCATGTAGAAAATGTGCGATAAGAAGTGTCGGAGTCATTTATTCATGCCAGTGATGAGATTTATATTAATGAATAACAGCACACTTTAAAGTGTCTTTAAACGGAAATTCATAAAAATAAAAATTATATGAGTGTCGGTTGACAAAAATACGACTACAGGATCTCAGGAACCTAACCCTGTATTTTCTCAGAAATAGTTATCAGTAGTCGGTAATACCAGTTCATGGTTCATGAATGCATTATAGAATGTAACTACTCAACATTTTATAACAGAAATAGGATGAATTTGTCCATATTTACTATTAAGTTTAAACAGACTTGAAATGTACTCAGTTATAAAATGTATTTCTAAATGCACTGGAAATAATGTGACCTCACTATCTTAATCTGAAGAATTAAAAAATGCTTCTGGGCATAAGTTAGGCGTCTGTGGTCTTCCATTCTTGTTGGATGGACTCATTCTTACTAGTCTTTCTGTTGAGAACAGCATGTGTGTGTGTGTTCCTTTTCTAGCTTGGTGTCTCGCTTAGCAGTTTGGGAGCGATACCAGCAGCAGCGCTGGACCCCAACATTGCAGCTCTTGGGGAGATACCACAGCCACCACTCATGGGGAACGTGGACCCTTCTAAGATTGACGAGATCAGGAGGACGGTGTATGTTGGCAATCTGAATTCCCAGGTAACTAAAGAGAAACGGAGTGATTGTAGATGCTGCTCTGTATGTCTTCTAATGAATTGTCACTTGATAAAGATGTACCTGATTTTTCAAAAGTGTGTACTTTATTAAAGTGTCACTTTGTTTCTTCAGACAACTACAGCTGATCAACTACTTGAGTTTTTTAAACAAGTCGGAGAAGTAAAGTTTGTGCGGATGGCAGGTGATGAGACTCAGCCAACTCGGTTTGCTTTTGTGGAATTTGCAGACCAAAGTTCTGTGCCAAGGGCCCTTGCTTTTAATGGAGTTATGTTTGGAGACAGGCCACTGAAGTAAGGAATCTTAAACAAAGACATTTTAATGATTTTGAAAATAATTTAAAGTATGCTTGATGTAATAGAGGCCTTTTTTTTTTGCTAGTAATTGGCAATGTGTGTAAAGGAAGACTTTGTGTTAAGTATAAATGAAATACATGAGATAATTAGCTTTCAGCCTTTAAATTCCTGAAGTTGTTTATTTAAGGATGTTTATCCTATTTTCTCATTTTTCTATTTCTAAGGTCCAGTTCAACGTTAATGTTGTTTATGTACTCTACCTAACACGTGTGTCCTTAAGCCTTAACAAAATCAAGTTGGTTTTTTGTTATGACCCTAGACTAATGGACAACTTACTATGTGATTTGAACTACAGTATTTCTAGTATAAAAAAAAACTTGAGTGAACTCAGATTTGCAGCAAAATATATTGAGAACGTAGGATGGTTTTAAACCAATTGTTTTGACTTTTAGGGTTGCTCCTATCTTTGGTTGTGAAAAAAATGGTGTAACTTTTTAGATACTCAAGAAGTTCTGTTTCAAGTGATTATTGAGGGAAACTTGGTTTTGTCTGAATTCCATAAATTCCCTGATTTACAGAATTTGATCAGGATTTGCTTTGAAAGGAGAAATAATCATTTGCAATGGGTGCTTATCTTGGCAGTTGTGGTGGGGGTGAAGTGTGAGGCTCATTAAACATTGTGTGCATTCAGAAAGCTACTGGTAGTAGACTAGGCATTCTACCAGAAGGCTGTCAGCTTGGAATGTGTGTTTGACTAGGCCAGAGTTCAAGGTTAATTGAAATGGTACACGTGCTGCAAGCTCTGCCTTCATCCTCCCAGATTGCCCACGTTATCGACAAAATCTTAGGAGAAGTGATTCATTGGTATTAAGTATAAAATCTACAAAAGAGCCCATCTTAGTTGTAACTCTATGATACATAGGAAAATATTTCCTCTAGTCCATTTGGGCTGTTGTAGAAGTCAGCTACAGTTAAGCTTTCTTTTGATTTGGTTTTGAATTTGTTAGCAAGAGATGATGGCAGGTAGGGATGAGGTTACTATTCATGGTTCAGGGTTGTTTTAGAACATGAATTTGCTCTATCATTCTCAGTGTGCTTTTGAGATACCCTCAGATTGATAAGTATTGTGTAAGCAGTTAATGATTTCATGTGTTGTATGTAAATAAGGTGTGCATTTGTGATATGCTAATATTTTTAATTTAGAATAAATCACTCCAACAATGCAATAGTAAAACCCCCTGAGATGACACCTCAGGCTGCAGCTAAGGAGTTAGAAGAAGTCATGAAGCGGGTCCGAGAGGCTCAGTCCTTTATCTCAGCAGCTATTGAACCAGGTAAGGCTGTGGTGTTGTTACATAGGCCACAGTTTACAGGTCATAGAGCCTTAGGACTGGAAGGAATTTAGAAATTGCATTGTTCAGTCCTTTTCTTTTACATAAAAGACTGACACTCAAGTAGTAAGTGGCCTACTCATGTCCAAGTGCATTCTAGCACAAATCTTAACTTTTCCTGTGATTTTTAACAGCCTGTTCGAGTAAATGAGCTCATTATAAATTAATAGCAAACTGCATTCAAATTTATTTGTTACAAGCAAATTGTCTTACGGTGAAGCTGGAAATGAAGTAAATATATTTAAAATGTTACAGTTATGGAGGTTTGCCTTCCTTAACATTTTAATTTTACAACTAGAAAGGAGCCCATTATTTTGAGAAAATATGGATTTTCTATTTTAGCACAGAGTGGAACACTAGTTCGAATTTTTGTGTTGGTAAAGTAATTTAAAAATCCAATCCAGTGATGCTTGGGTAATTACTTTTGAGCAGATTTTCTAAATTAGCCGTCAGAATTTAAGCTTCAGTTCTAGGAAAATAAATGGAGACTTAAAATCTGTCATAGGAATTACAGACATGTTGTAATCGTACGTTATGGCAGCAACAAAATATTACGAGCACCTGTTTATAATCATCTGGTTTATATGTACTGCTGCAGGGTGGCTGCACTCCACGAGTTTATGCAATGACTTTCTTGGATGTTTCTGAAGGATAATTGCACAGGAGGAGGATGTACAGAGAGTAGGCCCCTTGCACTATATGTGGTACATTCCACTTGTGCCTAATTATTAACTGGGATCTTTAATTGTTCTGAGCTTACACTGCAAAGTGGTTTTTTCCTCCCAGAGTCTGGAAAGAACAATGAAAGAAAAGGCGGTCGATCTCGTTCCCATACTCGCTCACAATCCAGATCTAGCTCAAAATCTCATTCTAGAAGGAAAAGATCACAGTCAAAGCGCAGGTGAGGATCTCTGCTGTTGTATTTTACATTGTTTCCAGTGTTCATATATTAAAATTGCTCACATTGTATGAAATTTCAGTAGTGCTGGAAGTGTGGTTTCCAGCAAATATTACCTTTGTTGGAATTTAGTTAAGAAACGCATTTTGTCAAATTCACAGTTCTTGATGTTTTAACTAATTTTCAGTTTTGTAAGTTGGTTTTCTAGGCAAAGGTGGTCTATTGGTTTTTCTAGGAGTAAATAAATTAGTCTTTATATGGAGATTACAAACTCTATTTTTTTCTATTGAGGAGAGGGAACATAGTGGCCAAACTGAAAATACTACTGAAGTTCCAGCCTTTCTTGTTTTCCCAGGGTAGTCCAGGCTTGGGGAGCTCTACCTCACGTGTTAGAGCAGCTCTGCCTCCTGTGCCGGGTGTCCTTGGGACTCCTGGGGATGGGACCCTCCTGTGCCGGGTGTCCTTGGGACTCCTGGGGACGGGACCCTCCTGTGCCTGCTTTTGGACCAGACGTATGTGCACTTTCAGATCCATGTTTTGTATGGTGTCTAAGCTGTAGTCTGTTCTATCTTGTTTTTTCTTAGAGCTTTGTCATTCTGATCTGTGTGTCATTGCTTTGCATTTGATGCAAAGGGAAACTCATAAAGTGAACTTGTTTGGAAGTACCCCAAGAGTCACATCTGGAGGTGCAGTGTGAAAGTGTGTAGTGTGGATCTTCATTGCATGTTCCATGTACGTCGTGTTTGTGTCTTGAGAGAGGAGAAGCAGGCCTGCTTGTGTACCTGTCAAGGCTGTTGGAGAAGGTGCTGTGTTTCAGGGAAGGGAGAAAAGGAACCAGTGTGCATTTATGTGGAAAATCACCAGCAGGCCCAAGTTGGCCTTCCTGTGATAATGAAAGACATTCTAGGAGCAGATAGGAACATAGGATGCTGTTCTGAGTCAGCTGAGTTACACTTTGGGCTATTTACTTACCTGTGTATACTGCTCCATTATTATTTGTTTGCAGTAGGGTTTTCCCGTCTTTCCAAGATCTTCCAGTAGGCCAGTTCCGAGCCCAGTTGACTCTGTAAGGAGTGGACAGTGCATTGGACATGAGCACTGAGGGAGGAGAGCAGATGAGCAGCAGTGACAGACTGGACGCGCAGATTGCTGGGAGGGCGCGCAGGAGGCCGAAGAAGCTGAGCCACAGTACGAGGTCATTTGTCCAAAGAATGAAAAGACCAGTGACTCAAGTCTTAAGAGAGTGCCAGGTTCAAGGCTGGAAAAAACCCGAAACTGATGGTTAAGATCATTTTGCTCTTGATAATGATCTATGGGAAGTTTCATATGCTTTTGGAAATTATGACACAGTTTCACAATTTAACTAAGGTTTTTGTTATTAACTACTCTATATTTGGGTATTTCCACTCTACAAGGGTTAGGTGAGGAGGGTTTTTCAGTCTTAATTGTAATTATTCTTACTCATAGGAATAGTGTCATGTCGATGTACCCCTGTAGCATTTGAAATTGCTAGCTGTTGGTATGTATGTGTGTGTTTTTGGCCAGCATATTCTGCTTTTAAACATGCTTATAGAAGTACAGCCTCAAATAAGTTGTTAAACAAACATAAAAGGGCGCTGTTTCTTTTTAAAGTAAGTTTTGAAAAACAAGTTCCTTATCCAAAAGCCTTGTAGGTAGATAGGCTCTTGGGTTGGAAGAGCCCCTGCTGCTGCAGGCTTGGGAGGGCTTTCTCTCCTCAGCTGGTGGAGGCTGGTGGAGGCCCGGTGGAGGCAGCAGCCTGGTGGAGGCTGGTGGAGGTTTGTGGAGGCCTGGTGGAGCAGCAGCCTGGTGGAGGTGGCAGCCTGGTGGAGGCTGGTGGAGCCTGGTGGAGGCCTGGTTAAAGGCTGGTGGAGGCCTGGTTGGAGGATGGTGGAGGCCTGGTGGAGCAGTGGCCTGGTGGAGTGACGGCCCAGGAGCACAGGTGGCAGGAGCTGTTTGTAGTTTTTCACTTGCTTCAGATGCTTCTAAAGTTCTGCTTCCCAGTCACGGAAACATCAATACGGCTCTAACACTCACAGTTTGATTTCGTAGTGTTGGATAGTGGAATTGTGGTAACTGAAGGCTGGTAAGGTGGAAGGTGGAAGGTGGAGGTCGGGCAGTGATTTCCAATGTCCAGTTAGTTTGGGGGAGTGTGTTCAGCAGGACAGTTGGGGTGACTGGGGGAGTTGACAGCGACTTATAGTATATTTTATAAAGAACCAGAAGGAAGGAGTTTCAAGGTTCCCAAGCAAAGCAATGATACATGTTTGAGATGGAAATGCTTCCTTCACTTGAGCATTTCATATTGTTTGCATATATCGTATAGAATTATCACAATTGTTCTGTGTCAGTGACAGAACAGGTTATGAGCTGTGCTGCCCCATCCCCACTCTCTCCTGTTCTCCCTGTTCCCTTCCTGACGGTGAGCCAGGGCGAGATTGCTTGTCACTGTGACCTAGGATTGGGGAGATGTATTTCTACTTTGTCGATTTTGATACTTGTTTTATTCAGAGCCACAATGAAAGAAAAGGTGGGTAGTACTGTAATTGTGGTTTTTAAGTTAAGTGACCTTTATGGGCCAGCATAGGAATATAAGACATTTTATGATTTTTTAATGGAAAACAGCTGATTTACAAGTGAACTTTGATGCAACGTGATGGTAAGTTGCTATTTACAGTTTTATCTAAAAATATCTTTCAAATTATTAAAAATTAAAGGTGATAAAGATACATCTTTAGGTAGGTTAGATCTACTTTTGACTGTTAGCATTAATCAGAAACCAGGACATTAGAAATGAGGGAATATTTAAGTTTCAGAAATTCATTACTCAAACAGTGGCTTTTTGTACTCTCAAGACTTGCTGGGTGAGGAGGGAAACTAATGCATTAATGTTTTGCTTGTTTTTTTGTTCATTATTTATAACTGCTGCACTTAATCCTTAAAAATTTTTCTTTGCCTATTTAAGGTTGGAAAGCACCTTTTAAGAAAAAACAAAATAATTGTACTTTTAGTGAGGTTAACCTGAACAGAAATATTATGATGACAGTTTTTATTAAGCATGTTGAAGCAAAGGCATTTTAAAATAAGCCTGACTTCAGCTGGCCCAGCCTTGGGCATTGTGGCCATTGGGAGTGAACTAGTGGACAAAACATCTCTCTTTCTCTCTGTAACTTTGACTTTTAAAATAAGTATACTTGTGGAAGTTCATTGCTTCCTTGGCATTAAATAAGAATGTAAGCTTTATGTTAACTTTAAGTGAGAATGATGATAGTGCAAGTGGAGTTAATAAGCATTTGTTTTGTACCAGATACTGCCGTGCAGTCTCTCAGTCAGGGTCTGATGATAGGCCAAGTCCCTGGACCCCTGCGTCTGCGTGGGAGGCCCGAATGAAGCTCCGGGCTCCTTGCCATTGTGGTCATTTGGGGCCTGAGCCAGCAGAGGGAAAATCTCTCTTCCCTTTTCCTTTCTATGTAATTCTGCCCCCCCCCCTTTTTTTTTTTTTTTTTTTGGAAAGGCCAACTTGAAAGAGGAGGAGGGGAGCGAACTTTCTGTGCTCTGGTTCAGTCTCCGGTGCCTGAAGCAGCCGGCTTGGCCAGGGCTCCGTCTGGTGGGGGCGGGGCGGGGCTCAGTCAGCTTGGCAGGCTTTCTCAGGAGCAGTAGCGGGAAGTTGAATGGGAAGTAGAGCAGCTGGAAATCGATTCACACTCCAGAGTGGGATGCTGGCATTGCAAGGCAGGTTAACCTGCTGTGGTGTAACACTAGTTCTTAGAAAAGTTCTTTAACTAGCTGTGGGTGTCACTATAGGTGTGAAAAGTTATTGCCGTGTAATCTTGGATTATTTTTATCTAGTTTTAGCTCACGTAAAAGGATTTTTGTTTTCCTGTCAAGCTAGCACTGATACTACTACTAATACTGTGCCTACACAATCTTTTTTCTTTTTAGATTTATTTAGTTTCATTTGAAAGGCTGAATTGCAACAGAGAGAATGAGAGATCATCTGTCCTGGGTCATTCCCCAAGTGACTGCCACCGCTGGGGTGTGCCAGTCCTAAGCCAGGAGCTCCTGGGTCATTCCCCAAGTGACTACCACTGCCCGAGATGTGCCAGTCCTAAGCCAGGAGCTCCTGGGTCATTCCCCAAGTTACTACCACCGCCGAGGCTGTGCTAGTCCTAAGCCGGGAGCTCCTGGGTCATTCCCCAAGTTACTACCACCGCCGAGGCTGTGCCAGTCCTAAGCCGGGAGCTCCTGGGTCATTCCCCAAGTTACTACCACCGCCGAGGCTGTGCCAGTCCTAAGCCGGGAGCTCCTGGGTCATTCCCCAAGTGACTACCACTGCCCGGGATGTGCCAGTCCTAAGCCAGGAGCTTGTTTCCAGGCTCTCACATGATTGCAGAGGCCTGAGCACTTTCCCAGGCCTTTAACCAGAAACTAGATTGAAAGTGGAGCAGCTGGGACTTAAAGCAATGCCTTATGGGCTACTGCTGCCACAGGGCAAGGAAGTTTAGTTTGCTACAGTGCCAGCTGCTGTACACTTTTCTTAATATATTTGTAAGGACAAATAACAGAACCTTTTATAGAAACTATTGAATCATCAAAGCACTACTCTGTGAAGATGAATTATAACCAGACTCCTTGCTGATTGAGAGTTAAAAGGCAAGGGGCCTGGCATTGTGGCATAGTTAGTTAAGCTGCCCTCCTTCTGACAGCAGTACTTGAGTCCCATATGGGTGCTGTTTAAAGGGCCAGCTACTCCACTTCTTCTGAGCCAGCTCTCTGCTGATGGTCTGAGAAAGCAGCAAAAAATAGGCCAAGGGCTTAGAATTGTGTATCCACATGGAAGACCCAGAATTAGCTCCTGGCTCCTGGCTCTGGTCTGGCCCAGCTCTGGGCATGTGGCTATCTGGAGAGTGAACTAGTAAATGGGCGATCTTTCTCTATCTCTTACCCCTCTGGCCGTCAGTGTCTGTAACTTTGCCTTTTAGATATATAAAATAGGTCTTAAAAGACGGTTTTTAGCATAAAACATGGAGTACGAGGGAAGCTTTTTGTACTAATGTGAAGCATCTCGTTAATTGTGCCACACGAAGCCGCACCTGCGGATAACAGCGTAGGTCTCGTGCAGTGCATAACTAGAGAAACGTCTGGTAACAAGTAAACTTGAAATTTATAGATTTTGATAAATAGTATTAGGATAGATTTTAAAATTTTCATATTTGAAAGACATCTTCAATTTAAAAATTTTTAAATTTTAAGACTAAGTTTTTTAACAATTTATTTTTCTTAGGAGTAGATCCCATAATAGATCACGTTCAAGACAGAAAGATCGACGCAGATCTAAGAGCCCACATAAAAAACGCTCTAAGTCAAGGGAGAGGCGCAAGTCCCGGAGTCGGTCACGTTCACGGTGAGTTTTAGGGAAATTACAGAGACTGTTTTCATTGGCTTCGTTTGTTAAAACTCTGTTGTGGTTTAGGTTTTAAATGAGAGAAATAAAACTTTTTTTCTGGTTGTTTTAATAATCTAGGATTAATATTGGTTGCCATTGATTTGAATCTGATGGTCAGTATGATTCATGAGGTTTCCAAACTGCTCCACTCAGCCTGGTAATTGCTTCATTTAGCAGCTTTGTGTACACTTGAGTTGTGTAGAATTTATATGTTATGTCTATAGCCATTCTAAATGATTTAGTGTTGGTGATTGTAAAGGAAAGAGAGGGAGGTCCCAATTGGGTGGGGAAGAATTGCTTTAGTTATTAATTAATTAATTTTTGTTTTTAAAGGGACAAAAGGAAGGATACTCGAGAAAAGATCAAGGAAAAGGAAAGAGTGAAAGATAGAGAAAAGGAAAGGGAAAAAGAGAGAGAGAGAGAGAAGGAACGTGACAAGGAGAAGGAGCGGGGTAAAAACAAAGATAAAGAGAAGGACAGAGAGAAAGAACGGGACAAAGAGCCTGAGAAGGAACAGGACAAAGACAAGGACAGATCCAAAGAGACCGATGAGAAGAGGAAGAAGGAGAAGAAGTCCAGAACACCACCCCGGAGTTACAATGCCTCCAGAAGATCTCGAAGTTCCAGCAGGTTCGATGATGCATAAAATGTGTTCCGGCGGGTTTAGCTGGTGGCGGAAAGATCCTTGTGTGCAAGCTGAGCCAGTGTGGCCAGGTCACAGTGTGCTCCCCTCCTTGTGCTGTTTCCTCTAGCAGAGGGATCGCCACAGTCATGAACATGGGCAGACTTGACAAGTTTTAGCTGCCGTTTGTGGTCTGTTATTTTAACCTGCTAATTCCTGTTCTTTGTTGTGGTTCTCTTTGAGGGTAGAAAGGTAAGGGAGGATTTCTTTTAAAAAAAAAAATTATAGAATTTGATCTCATAAGCTCATTTTTTTCATTCCCTTGATACAATGTTAATATGCAAAATGTGTTCTGATGGTGTGGTGTTTGTCCTTACTGTCATGGGAGGTACTCGTTTGGGAGGAAGAGAGAGGTCATGTGGCATTCCACTCTGCAGATGACCGAAGTGGCTGAGGAGGGAGGGGCCAGAGCCCAGAGCTGCAGCCCAGAGCACAAGCCAGGGCTCCCCTCAGGCTGATAGGAACCCTCTTAATGGAGCCAGAAATCAAACTCAGACACTGAGGGGAGATGCTGGTTTCAGAAACGCTGGATTAAATGCCAAATCCCTCACTGAGAATAGTTTTTAGCCCTTTTGTTGAGTTCATGATATGGATTCTCAGTCTTTGTAAATTTTAATGGTTACTCTTTTCCTCAATATAGTTCCCACTTTATTAAGAGTTACACTGCCACCAGGTGGCAGTAGGTTTCCATAGTAACATTTGCAAAATGAGACCTCTTCATGCAATTGAGATATCTAAGTGTACAACCTTATTCTGGGTGATATTATGACTGTAAATAAATGGAGTTCCTGACTTGTGATAAAATGTCTCTGAAATATATTTGTGTTTTAAAATAAAAAGCAAACGCCTGGCATGGTAGCCTAGTGGCTAGAATCCTCGCCTTGCAGGCGCTGATTTGCATGTCCCAGCTGTCCCACTTCCCATGCAGCTCCCTGCTTGTGGCCTGGGAAAGCAGTGGAGGACGGCCCAAAGCCTTGGGACGCTGCACCCGTGTGGGAGACCTGGAAGCAGCTCCTGGCTCCTGGGTGTTGTTCGGTTTAACTCTGGCTGTTGTGGTCACTTGGGAAGTGAACCAGTGGATGGAAGATCTTTCACTCTGTCTTTCCTTCTTTCTGTAAATCTGCCTTTCCAATAATAAAAAAAAAAATCTTTAAAACAAAAAAGAAGCTGTGTGTGTGTAGAGGGGGTGTATGTGTCTGGAAATATGTCCAGTCTATATTCATGTCTGGTATCAGCCGTTAGTTGGATCAGAAGTAGAACAGCTGGGATCTGAGTTAGTACCCATATAGATGCTGGCATTGTAGCCAGTGGTATTACCTGCTGTGTACCATAGCACCTGCCTTTTTTTTTAAGATTATTTATTTACTTGAATGGCAGACTAACAGATCCTCCATTCAGTGCTTCACTCCACAAATCCTTGCAGTGGCTGGAACTGAGCCAGTCCAAAGCCAGGAGCCTGGAGCTGCTTTTGGGTCTCCTACTTGGGTGTAGGGACCCAGGACTTGGGCTGTCATCTGCTACTTTCCCAATCCATATGCAGGGTTTTGGATTGAAAGAGGAGCAGCTGGGACTAGAACTGGTGCCCATCTGAGATGCTGGCGTTGTAAGCAGAGGATTAGACTGTTGAGCCACTGTGCCACCCCTTATGCCTCCTTTTTAAATATATGTATTTTTAAAAATTATGTAAGAGTCAGAGTTAGGAAGAGACAGAGAGAGGTCTTTCATCCAGTGGTTCACTTCCCAAATGGCTGTAAAAAGGGCTGGGCCTGTCCAATGCAGCTTCTGGATCCCCGGTGTGGGTTCCCACGCACTTGGACCTTCCTGTCTGTCCTGAATTCTATTGGCAGGAGTTGGATTGGAAGTACAGCAGGCAGGACTTGAACCAGCACCCACATGTGGAGGCTTACCCACAGCAGTATCTCCTTTCTTTTTGCAAAATTGGTACTTCAGGGGACAGTGTGGTGGCAGAGAGATGAATCCTGGGCCTCGACACTGGCATCCCCTGCGGGCACTGGTTCCTGTCTTAGGTGCTCTGCTTCCAGAGCAGCTCCCTGACAGGGCATGGGAAACCAGCTGAGCATGGGCCACGTCCTTAGGCCCCTACACTCTCACGGGAACCCCAAGGAGGCTACTGGTCCTCACTTTGGATCAGCTCAGCTTGGGCTGTTTGGGGCATGAACTAGTGGATGGAAGAGCTCTCTCTCCTTGTCTCTGTAATTTTGTCTTTGAAAGAAAAATAAAATAAATGTTAAAATTGGCACTTTAATGGTTTGTTCCTAACGTTAGCCTTTGACTAATACTGAAAGATCAAGGATGATAATGGCAGACATTTGCCAGATAATTGTACCTCAGTGTATTTTCCGGCCTCGCATTATTTAATCCTCAGAGTAAACCTGTGTGGAGACTGTTGTTGCCATTTCAAGCATCAGGAAACTGAAGCTTACAGGGAATCTCTCATGTGCTCTGTACTTCAGCTTAAAAGAACTCTGAGAACGAGCATTCACATTGGCTGATTCACCTCCCACATAGCTCCTGGGACCTGGGCAGGAACTGGAAACTCCATCTGAACCCAGCTCTTGGTGCACACTGGTGTGTGTAGCTGGAGCTGAGGGGTTGAACCTCGCTACTCTAACGTGACATCTTAAATGCTGGACTGAAAGTCTGGTCCCTGAGCTGTGCTTGTGTATCCAAAGTTCAGTAGCACTGTTCCATTTTTATCTTCTTTCTTTCTTAAAAGATTTATTTATTTATTTATTTATTTATTTGTTCATTTTTGAAAAACTGGAGTGACAGACAGATGGGAGACCTGCGTTGCGCTGACCCATAGCCTAGGTGCTGTGCTGGCTGAGGCCGGCCCGGGCTGCATCCAAGAGTGTGACTTGCTGTGGGTCTGCCGTGTGGGTGGCCAAGGCCCGAGTACGCTGGCTCTCATTTGCTGCTTTCCAGGTGCATTGACAGGAAGCTGGATCCGAAGTGGGATGGCTGCGATTCAATCCAAGGCCCCCAAGTGACTGTTGAGCCCATTGAGCCATAACCCTTTCCCTCCTCTCCTTTTAGAGGTTTGCGAATTCCTCTAATCACCGTTTGGTACCTACTTTAAAACATTGCCTCAGGAGCAGGCCTGGTGGCACTGGGACTGGAGTGGACTACCTGGGCTCAGTTCCCACGAAGGCTCCTGATTTCTAGTGTTGTGACTGTACGCTCCAGCAGTTAGGAAGCGATAGCTCCAGTCACTGGGTCCAGCTCCGTGTGGAACGCCAGGTTGGACTTCCTGACTCTGGACTTGCCTAACCTGAGCCTTTGTAGGAATCTGTGGAGTTAGTGCTCACTGTGTTGGTCGGTCTTTCTCCACCTCTAAGATAAAAGCAGAGCAGCAGACTGCTTCAGAAGCAGCGGACTGGCAGCCTTGTTATATTCGTGTGTCTTACTGGGGCTGAGAGATTAGCTCCAGATTCCGGCACATTGGACACACGTGAAGTAATTGAACAGCCTTTGTTTGTATCAGTTGAACCCTTGGAGCCTCCTTGCACTGCGTAGGCATTATTGATTGTGTGTCATGTGTGCCTTTGTGTTTGTGTGATGACCCTTCCTAGTACAAACAGATGTTTTAGTTTTTATTTTAAAGATTTATTTATTTTCATTGGAAAGTCAGATACACAGAAAGGAGAGAGAGAAAGATCTTCCTGCCACTGGTTCATTCCCCAAGTGTCCTCAATGGGTAGAGCCTCTTTTGGGTCTCCCACACGGGTGCAGGGTCCCAAGGTTTTGGGCTGTCCTTACCTGCTTCCCAGGCCACAAGCAGGGAGCTGGAAGGGAGGCGGGCAGCCTGGACACAGACTAGCACCCATATGGGATCCCTGCATGTGCCAGGTTGAAGACTCTAGCCACTGAGCACCAGGCCTGAATGTTTTAATTTTGAATAACTTCATCATGTTTAAATTCTTTTTTTCTGAGCTATTTTATGTCACTTGATCTTTAAGAAAATTCCCTTGCTCACATTTGGTGTTAGGGCTGGAGGAATAGGATAAGCACCATTCATTTCTAAGAGTGTAGCCATTTTCAGTGTTTTATGCTTTCAGAAGAACTTGGTGTGAAGAGTTTGAGTTTTTCGTCTTTTAGCAGTTTTCTGCCTTTCAGACACTCTGGGTTTTGTTTATTACATCAGAAACATTATAACTCCTCAGAACAATAGCCCACTTAATATTTTTATTTCCAGAATGTATCCCCACCTGTATTTTCAATAAAAATTTTGATATTTGAAAACATTTGTGATGTTAGAATTAACACTATTGTTGAGAAAAGTAGGGCCTGTGCCAGGGCTGGGGAGGGAGCCCGTGCCTGGCAGACTCATGCCCGACTGGACCTCCTTGGTGCTCTCATGCCAGGCCTGTAGTGCTTGAGCTGTGTTCATGTCAGATAAAAAGGCTCAGGTTCAATAATGTGATCCTAGCTGTGTATCCAGTAAAATAAAGCACTGGAATTTAAATCTGAGTATAATCAGCTCTACTTGTTCATTGACTCACGGCTTTATTCCTAACTGATAGTCTAGAGTATTATCCAGAGTTAGCTTATTATCATCAGCAGCTGTACTTGTATATCCATCTGTACACCACCAGAGATGATGTTTTGAGCAGTCTGTGCAATTTGTGGTTCATTATTGGGCCTGAGTTCTGAAATGAGGAAATAGGACAGGACAGAACCATAAAGATTGTTATTTTCTGCTGACCTCTAAGGAATAGTAAAAATGCGCTTGAGAGTTCCTTGTCTTTTATATATGTGAATTGCCCCTTATATGGCTGGCTGTTATTTAAAATATGACGTGTTTTTCACTTCCAGGGAAAGACGTAGGAGGAGGAGCAGGAGCTCTTCTAGATCCCCAAGAACATCGAAAACCATAAAAAGGAAGTCTTCCCGGTCTCCCTCCCCGAGGGGGTAAGTTAAGATCATGAGCTGACATGACACTGGAGCAGGTGGAAAATCTACAAAACAAATTCTCGCTTATATTCTGAGTGAATATTCCATTTGCCCCTTTCAGAAATGAAGTCTTAAGAGGTAGATATTCAGTCACCCTCAGCTTCCACTTACATGCTTCTTGTCTGTCCCCAGGCTTTGGTATTATTGTTCATTTTAGTTTTAATTTTTGTTTATTTGAGAAACAAATGAAACTCCTGTATCTGATTCACTCTGCAGACGCCTGCTGTCCTTGGGGCTGGAGGCTAGGGACTCGACCTAAGTGCTGTGTAAATAATTACACTATATGATGTGGGGGAATAACAACAGGGAAAAATGTCTGCATATGTTCTTTGTCAGTGTAGTATTGCCCCCCCCAAATATTTTTTTAAAGGTTTATTTTATTTATTTGAAAGGCAGTTAGAGAGGGAGAGATTGCAAAGCAGAGATTTCCCATTCACTCATCCACTCCCCAGATGCTGCAGTGTTTGGGGCTGGCCAGGGTGCCAGAGGCCAAGAGCTTCTTCCAGGTCTTGCACATGGCTGCAGGGACCAAAGCGCCTGGCGCATCCTCTGCTGCTTTCCCAGGCCACAAGCGGGGAGCTGGATGGGAAGTGAGGCAGCCAGGACATGAGCCAGCGCCCACATGGGTGCCTACACTTACAGGTGGAACATTAGTTTGTTGAGTCACCTTGTTGACCCTAAATTGTATGTCTTTTAAAAAACCAAGTAGGGTAAGATGGGGGTAAGCCAGGGTGTAGGACCCATTTTTTGTCAAAATAGCTTACTAGTGTGTCTGGTACAAGGAATTTTATTTTGTGTTGTTTCAGGGGATGCCCTGTATTGGATAAGGATATTTTGTCAAAACTATGATAAATCTCTTTAAGCTATTAGATGCTGACATGTTATTAATATTCTTGTAGCAGAAATAAGAAGGATAAAAAGAGAGAGAGGAACGGGACCACATTGGTGAGAGGAGGGAGAGTGAGCACTCCAGCTCTGTGAAAAAGGACTGTAAAGACGGCGAAGGCAAGGAGGACAGCGCTGTGCTCACAGGAAGTGATGTAAGTCAGCCGCCGGGTGCGGCACGGTGGGGAAAGCGCTAAATGGGAACGAACTTTTTAAAACATGATGTTTTTTATAATACAAGCATTATTTTTAAATGTTTATTACAGAGGTCAGGGCATGGTATTGCTGGCCTGTGTGGGGCTCTGGTAGAGGGCGAGGAGGGGTGAGAGATGGGTTTGCAGGTGGAGGTGGTTTAGCAGGTATGCCCACTGCCTGGTGTACTGACGTCCCCTCCGGCACCCTGGCAGGCAGGAGGCTGTCCAGGGGCGTGGGCACTGTGGCAGGTGACATGTTCTATCTGTCCTCGCCAGGCCTCTTCCTTCCTCTTTCTGTGTATGTTCATGTTGTTTGTTCAGGGCTGCTTCAAGAGTGTCCACAGGACTAAAATTGCTTGCTGTTTTTGAAAGAAAAAAAGTGTTAAATTGATCAATCTCGTTAAATTTTGAAGATAAGGGAGTAAATTTTAAAAAAGGTTTTTTTAAAGATTTGTTTTTATTAGAAAGACAGAATGGCCACAGTCATTGGAGCTGAGCTGATTTAAAGCCAGAAGCCAGGAGCTTCTTTTGGGTCTTCTCGTGGGTGCAGGGTTCCAAGGCTTTGGGCCATCGTCTGCTACTTGCTGAGTTACAAGCAGGGAGCTAGATGGGAAGTAGAACAGCCAGGACATGAACCGTGCCTTTATGGAATCCCAGCTGAGACAAGGTGTAGAATTAGCTAGTTGAGCCATCGTACTGGGCCCAGCAAATTAAAATTGTGAAAACTGCAGTCCTGGGTCAGAAGAAGTAGCTTACTGGCTGAAGTTCTCTCCTTGCATGCCTTGGGATACCATATAGGTGTCAGTTTGTGTCCAGGCAGCTCCACTTCCCATCCAGTTTCCTGCTTGTGGCCTGGGAAAGCAGCAGAAGATGGCCCAAAGCCTTGGGACCCTGCACTTGCATGGGAGACCCAGAAGCAGCTCCTGGCTCCTAGCTTTGGATCATCTCAGCTCAGGCTGTTGCGGCTACTTTGGGAATGAATCAGCGGGTGGAAGATCGTTTTTGCTGTATCTCCTCTCTGCAGACCCAATTTTCTAATAAAAGTAAATAAATCTTTGTGGGGAGGAAAACAAAAAAAGGAAAAGATGAAGAAACAGAGAAAGATTGATCTTCCATCTGCTGGTTCTTTCTCCTAGCGGCCACAACAGCCATTTCTGAAGTCTGTTCTGGTTTCTCACATGGCTAATAGGGCCCTAGTACTGGCCATGTGCCTTCCCAGGCACAGCAGCAGGTCCACATCGCAAGGAGGGTAGCTGGACTCGCACGGCCTCTCCTATGTGGGATGCAGTGCTGTTGTTGCCAGGGCGACAGTGGTGGTCCCTTGTTCTTTGTTTTTGCGTTTTGGTGTGTATCTTATCTTTTGGAAATACTTGTAATCTCTTCCATTTTTTTCAAGTCTGTCAGTTCTTACAATTTTTTGTTTCCCTCATTTAATTTTATAAGAAGTACAAAGGGGAAGTTTTTACACTACTTGAGTGTTTTTTTTTAATATGAAAACATAATGGGTAGAAAATATTCAGTCTTGTTTCTTCAGAAATGATAGACATTGGAGCTGGGACTGTGGTGTATGTGCCACCTGCAGTATGAGCACTTCATGTGGACTGTGGTTCTAGTCCCTGCGGCTCCACTCCTGGTCCAGCTCCTAGTTCATGCCCCTGGAACAGCAGTGGAGGATGAGCTGAGTGCCTGGGTCCCTGCCCTGGGAGAAGCCACTGGCTTCAGAGCTTGGGCACTAAAGCCTGTGGACACGACCTACATGCAGGCTTCCTGTCACTCCATCTCCGCTCTCTAACTCGACCTTTCCGAGAAATCAGTCTTATGAAAAAGATAAGACATAATTTTTGCTTTTATTGTGGGCAACTCTTAGGAAAATGTTAAATGGGCACATTAATATTTTTTTTGTAGGAGAAGGAGGAGATGAACGAGGCAGATTCAGATGTGGGCAAAGAAGTCGGTGACCAGGACGCACCGAGGACTGGGGACAGCCACGGGCAGCAGAACGGCAGCTGTCAGCCTGACGAGGAAAACCTGTCTGCCCAGTCAGACACGGTGTAGGACCCTCCAAGGCCCCTCTGCACTCAACGCTGGCATCCAGTCCAAAGCTTTTACGTCTCACAACAAGATGTAATAGACAGGGAGGAAGTCTAGTGGAGCGTAAAAGATAGCAGCAAACGGCTTTCCAATCCTTAGGTGACTTTGTGGCCATCTTGTTTCTGAATCAGAAAGCACGGACATGGAGACGGTAGCACACGTTACTCAGCCTTCTCATGTGAAGTCTGTGCAGTTCCATGGTGGCCGACATACTTGCCATGTGGTTTATTAGTGTCTGCCAAGAACCATTGCAAATAAACACAACATCAGAGATCCAAATTCATACTATCCTTAAAGACTGGTGACAAGCTTTGCAGGCTCTTGACAAGGCTGGTTACTGAATTTTGTATCACTTTACTTTTTTTTTTTAAAGCAGTTTCAGTATGTAAAGTTTGATGATGTGCTTGAAATTGGTGGAAATATAAACACACCCCTTGTAAGTGCAAAGTATGTAAGAAGTTTTCGCCTTTACAAGATTTACAGTGATTGTGTTTAATTCTCACTTGTTTTCTTTTGTTCATCATTTAGGACAGCAGTTTTTCTTTAAGATAGTTTTACAGGTTAAAATTGTTTAAGTGGATTAAAAAACAACTGACACTGCATGCTACTGTTCTCTCTGAAAAGAAAGAACCCCCTGTGCTGAATACTAATACGTGTTAGTATTCCGTGTTTGAGTCGTTGGGTCTACCCGCAGAGTGAGCGTTTTCTTTTAAACTTCCTTGACATTTCCAAGCTTACTGCGAGTAGAATTGCAGTGTGTGTTGTCAGCTGTAGGTGGCAAAGGCGTCCTTAGCAAAAGGAAACTGGGTTTTCAAAATGGGCTATGGGAGCACAAGCTGAAGCTTTAGTGCCTTCTACAATGTTTTCTAGAATTTTCTATGTGCTAGTCATCCTGAATTCATATGGAATCTAGGTGGATATTCTGTTCATACCCATAGAGAGGTATGCAAGTCAAGTGTCAGGAGAGCTGCTTACTTAGTTCACCTAATATGAAAAGGAAGTCTTGTTTTCAAGGCTGATTGTTGAGTTTAACAGTACAGTTTTGGGACCATCAATTTTATACTGTGACAATTGAAGCATGCTGTTCTCCCTAAAAGGAACCTTTTTGTGGTCTATGTTGATGTTGAATGACCTTAATGATTACCTCTCAGTTGTCTTCTCTAAATGATGTGCTGACTGAGGGAAGCCTCGTTTACCAGGGAGGTTGTGTGTCCCAGGGTATGTTTCCTTGAGTTTAAAATTCGGGTGGTCCGTCGTAGATAGACTCACCTTTCCCTGACGGTGTGCAAGACGACAGCATTGCAAAGGTTTTTCGTCTCAAAACGTTTAACTTGTGGTTTTTGAATTCTTTTCATTACTGTTATATTTCCAAAAAAGTAACAGTTTTAATTAGCATGTTATTAAAAAATCAAGTATAATTTTATTTTAATGCAGTCTAATACAATCAAATTACTCAGTTGCCTTACCTCAATGGGAAGAGTTACTTGTACAGATAGAGTTAAAAAGCTGAGTAGCAGGTGGTCACTTGGTTTCACCTTGAATTTTCATGTTAATACTGTTGAGGTTGAAGTCTTTGGTGAAGACTGAAAAGAGTTGCCCCCACCGCGAGTAATGAAGCCTGGTTTGATTATTAAGCTGCTTAATCACTCTTTTTGTGTTCAAAATTACTGTGTGATTTTTTTTTTCCTTTTTGTCAACTGTGTACATTAAAACTTTGGAAAATGCTTTACTATGTAAAGTATAGATGGTCATTTTTATCATTCAACCACATACGGTTGGCTGTAAACAGCTTATTCTGATGTAAGAATGCTGGGTGCATATGGAGAGGACTGTGTAGGATTATGTGTCTTGCATCAATAGCTGTCTTATTTATGATATGGAAGTAGACTAGAGCAAATGTTTGAATCTTTGTTATTTTTAGTACCGTTTCTCTAATAAAGCTAAGTATTTTAGAGGAAAGTATTTGTTTATGCATTTCAAAAAAACAATCAGTTTTCATCCTGCCTTTCTTTTCATTGGCACAGAGATTTTCTGTTTTTTTGCCACAGGGAATGCACGTTTTGTGTGGTGTTTATAAAACTGTTTTCCTCTTCTCTGGGCTCTGTGAAATATCTTTCATGCTGGTCATTAACATGAAATCTGGTTCCTGCGTTGATATTTAGTCACTGTTAAAGTGATCATGTGAGGCTTGACAGATCCTGACTTGTGAATGGGATCCGAGGATCCTAGGAAGTAAAACCAGCCTCTCCGGGGTTGGATGTTTGACTTGTTCTTAGGGAAGCAAAACTTGGTAGGGTTTTGTATGTTTGTTGTTGACTGGAGCCGATATGTTTTCAGTTGTAGATTTCTTCTCGAGTTACTTTGTTTTAATACAGGTGTTGTCGGGAAAACTTGAGGTGAGGCTCAGCAGACAGCATTTTACGCTTGATACAGATTTTGTTTAGCTAGAATTATGTAAGAGAATTCCTTAAATTGTAGTTGCTATTCATCAGTCTAGAAAAATTCTTTTGGAACTCTCACTCTTGCTTTTCAGCAACCCAGACTAATCCTAGAGGACGGTCCTTCAGAAGCTTGCCCGTCAGTTCCAAGTGTGAAAACGCGTAAATGCTTCACTGTTGGCTTACCCCCTGCTGTGACCCGGGTCCTGTCTAATTAGCTCATGACTGTATGCACCTGTCAGTTGATGACCTTCCCTGGATTAGGGTTCCGTTCTGAAGGGCTTCGGTGTTGGCCATATTCATCAGGAGTGTTGGGGGCTGGCGTTTTGATTTGCTCAATTAAAAGCTGGCATCCATAGTGAGAAAAATTTTTTGATCAAGAAAATAATCTCATTTGTGATGCTAATCATTTTCGGGACTCTGTCATTGTCTATGTATATGTTACTTACCTTTATTTAAAAACTTAAAAAAAAAGGACCCTGACCCAAACACGCTCTCAAATGAAGATAATGTATGTAAGAATTACTGCGTACAACGGCATGCTTTAGTCTACACAGTAACGCCAAGTCAGAATTTGCTTTGATTTCATCGCCTTTGTTTGTCAGATTAGCAGAATTAATCCTTTTGGATTGAAGCATTGAGTACTTTTTTGGTGGTCATTTTCTATTTTCATTAAAAGTGTTTGATTTTTTAACTAGCTTGGTTGTCAAGTATATCTAGTCTTGTGAAGTAGAAGGATCTTGCATTCCTTGTATGTTTAAATATTTTAAAATTTTTTACTAAGTATTTTCTCATAATTCCCACTCTTATATGTAATAGCCATTTAAATTGTTTAATCTCGAATTTCAAAAGGGATAAAACATATTTCTGGAAGCAGGAATCTGGAGTAATATAAGAATCTCTTAAAATTAACTTCCCTACTTTTTGGGTTTATGGGTGCAAGCTTTTTTTTTCCTTCGTTTTAAAAGTATACATTTTTATTAGTAACACTGACTAACAACTGATACTATTTTAAAAATAAGCTAAAGCTGTTTATGAGTTCTGGTCCATATTCACATTCACTTAGATTGGATTTAGTAACCCTTTCACTGCTTTTCATAACTCCTAACAATTTATTTAGAATTGTTACTTTGTGTCTGCTATAACGTTTCTTAAGGTAAAGTCTTTAAACTCAGAGTCTTAATTTGTTGTCTTGTTTTTAAATTTGTATCTGTCTAACAGTATAATTTTGGAAATTGCTAATTTGGGGGCGACTTTTCATTTTACCTCCAAATTTTATTTTTTCAGGACTGAAGTAGTTCCTTCTATGCTTGGGTTTTGTTTGTTAGATACCTTCTTGAGTATGTTTGTAAGTTCAAATTGAAAATCCTACTAGAGGAAGAGATTGTTCGCTACCAGTGTAAGGTAGACAAGCATACTGTTGATGAAGCTCAAGATGATTTCTGATTTCCCCAAGATCTGAGTACACTGTGCAGCTACACCGGTGAATGTGGTAGTAATCTGCCTGCTGAATCCCAGTAGAGAAGTGCTAGGGAAGAAGTGCTGTGGAAGTGCCAAGGGAAGGACCTCCAGTGTAAACACACAGACGCTGCCTAGGCGGATATGTTTGTGAGTAGGATGACTTTTAAAATGGTATTAATAAAGATTTATTAAACGATGCTGCTATTATGTTGCTATATTTTTAATAAAATGCAAATTTAAAATATTGCCACTGTTGAGTAGTAATTTCACCTATTTCTGGGACATGTGTTTGCGTTTTAAAGTCTTCCATGACTGCAAGGCGGCAGTGTCCTGTCAGTGCTCACAGTTACCTTCCAAATGAATGTCTGCAGTTGGTGCGGCCCTGCTCCGTTACGTGCTGTTGTAATGCTGGTGAGTTTTTTGCACTTCCTCTTGCTTTTAGGTGTGCTGTGATATTTGCACGAGGAACGTTGTCACACATCCTAATAGCCGATACTATGCTTTTGTCCCCTTCTCAGAATCGTATCTGTGTGTGCTCAGGGTTCTCGGTGAGCGGGGACAGCACGTGGGTCCAATGCCCTGATCAAACAGGTGACTCATTTGCTTATATTTGGGAACTTCCCACTAAGATATTTGTTACTGATTTCTAACTTAATTCTACTCTGATTGGAAAACAATCTGTAGGCCAGTGTTAAGGCGTGGCTGGTTGTGCAGCTCTGCGAGGTGCCAGGATCCTGTAATGGAGCACTTGTTTAAGTCCCCTTTGCTCCCCTTACCCAGTTCGCGGCCGATGTGCTTGGGTGCCTTCCGTCCACATGGGAGACCCACATTAAGCTCCTGCCTTCTGGCTTTGGTCTGACTCAGCCCTGTTACGATCATTTTGGGGAGGAAACCGGTTAAAAAAATTTTTTAAGCCCAAAATTTGTATTTGATTCTGAGATTTTCTGAGATTTGCTTTGCGGCTTAACAAATAATTCACTTTGGTAAGTGTTGTACGCTTGAAAAGATTGTGTCTATGTTACTTTTGTAAGACATGCTCTGTCATGTCAGTTAGGTCATGTCATCTGGTAATGGTGTTCAAGTCTGCTGTACCCTGGGAGGTCCTGGGAGCGCTTACTAGATTGGTAGATCTATTTCTTTTAGTTCTTGTTGCTTTATGCATTTTAAAGCTCTGTTCACTGTGTTCATAAATGTCATTGACCGTTTTATCATTGTAAAATTACTCTTTTATTCCTAGTTCTGATATTTGCTATGGATTTTTTTTTTATTAATGCTCATGTTGCAATCGTATTTTTTGTCATAAGTTTGATTTTGTCACCTTAAAAAAATCCTCTACATCAAACTTATTTGTTGTTTTTCATTTAAAGTGTGTTTTTTGTGGTCAGTATATAGATTGTACTGTTGTATCCAGTCTGACAACTTCTGCCTTTTGGTTGACTTGTTTAGCTCAATTATGTTTAATATTATTAGTGATACTATCGAATTTTAATGTACTGCCTTAATTATTTTTCCATCTTTTTTGTTCTTATATTCGTTTATTTACTTTTATTCATTTTTATTTCCTTATGTCTTATTTCATTCTTATGTTTTATATTCATTCTTATATTCAGTGAATGTTTTTAATTTTATCATCTTTCTTACCGTGATAATTTTTCTGTAGAACCTAGACCACATACACCCCTTCCTCTCCATTTTGAAGAATTTTGACCTGTGACCAGCATTGTGACTTAGTTCCACTTCTGATCTAACTCCCTGCTGATGCTCCTGGGGACGCAACAGATGGTGGCCCAGTGCTTGGGCCCTGGCCCCCAGGAGGAATACCTGGCCCGATCCCTACCTCAGTGGGCACTTAAGGAGCAAACCAGCAGATGGAAAATTGATTTCTTTCTCTGTGCCTTTCAAATAAAAAATCTTTAAGAAACATTGTTTTGAATGAAAAGGCAAAGACACACACATATCACACATACGCCAACACGGAGATATGGTCTGTCTGTCCACTGACGAGCTCCTCAAATGCTGCAACAGTCAGCAGTGTCTAGAATTCTGGGTCTCCTGTATAGGTAGCAGGGACTCAGGTAGTTAGGCCTTCGCCTACTGCCTTCTAGCGGGCGGGCATGTTAGCAGCCTTGCATTTGTAATGGTACCATAGTCTGCTTATTAAAAATAACAGTTTATTCATTTATTTGAGAAGCAGGCTTTCAGGAAGGAAATTAGAGACACAGAAATCATGTCCACTGGTTCACTTCTCACATGGCACAACAGCCAGGTCTGGATCAGGCCAAAGCCAGGTGCCAGGAACTCTGTTTGAGTCTCCCACATGGATGGCAGGGGCTATATTCTGCCTTCCCAGGCATATAAGCAGGACACTGGATTGGAAGAGAACCAGCTGGGCCTCTGATAAAGAATGCTAGTGTCCCAAGTGGTGTCTTAACCCACTGTGCTGCAATGCCGCCCTCCCCACCCCAGTATAAATATAATACATATAGTGTGGAGACGTTGCAGTTTCCCAGGTGTGTGATTTTTGTTAAATGTTTAATATAGGTATTAAAAATACCCCCCTCCTCCTCCCCAACACAACAGTTTTAAAGACATTTATTTCTTCAAATTGTTGGAAAGGGAGAGATGAAGATCTTCGTCTGCTCATTAACTCCCCAGGTGACCACATTGCTGGACTGGGCTTGTCCAGACCCAGGAGCCTGGGTCCGCCTCCGTCTCCCAGGACTTGGGCTGTGTTTTGCTGCTTTCTCAGAAGGAGCAAACATGGCCCAAGGAGCTGGATGGAAGTGGAGCAGCCTGGACTCAACGGGCATCCATATGGGATGTGGACAGTTGCATATGGAAGCTTCATTATGGCATGGTGCCGGCCCCTGGACCCTTTTAAATTTTAAAAGTTTTTCATAGTTATTTGTTAGGCAAATTTATGTAGACAGATGCAGAGAGATCTCCATTTGCTGGTGTGCTTCCCCAGTGGCCTCAATGACTTAAGGCTAGGCCAGGCAGAAGCCAGGAGCCTGTAGCTTCCTTGCTGGTCTCATGTGGCTGCAGGGCCCTAA